GTGTATATATATATTAAGTCATCAAGATTGAATCTGTAATCTGTTTACCAATCCAAACTTTCTAAGCCTGTAAACGTTAAATCTTTTAACAGACTCCAATCAAGTCAGTTTTACCAAGGTCTATTTGTATAAAGGAGAATCAATTGAAAATCTCTCCTTTTCCAGGTTTCTTTTCCTCTCATGTAACATACTTGGATCCAAGCCAAATTCTCATGTAAGGTACATAAGTCGAAAGTATTACTCATGTACAAATTGTGGAATTGTTAGTTTACTCAGGACCCAATAAAATATGAATATCTTTGATTTGAAGTTTGAACAAATTAGCAGTTTTTCCAGAAACATTGCAAATACTCTGAATAGAGAGATGACAGTGTCAAAGTGAAATGAACATCAAACCGATGACATGAGAGATAAAGTTAAAATATTCATTGAGGCAGTCATATGAGACTTGAGTACATTACATAGATTTACTGTAACCTAGAAGGTATAAGCAGAAGAATATCCATCCAATACCAAAGTTAAGTTTTATAACAATTCATTAGCCAAAACTGATGTGGTGCTAAAAGTTATATGGCAATATAAGGTAACTAAACAAAATAAACTTGAATTCACAAGGACTTCTCACCAGGCAAAAAGAAAGAACTAATATTAACTACAGATATTAGTGGGTGAGGATATCAGCGACATTCACGGTTGTATGATGAAGTGAAAATCATTCTTCACGGTTAGCTTGCACACACATATGAGAAATAAAAGAATGATGGTGGCTTATAAATATAAAAATACCAGAAGAAGAATTTTGTGGTGCATGCTGACACCAAAAGAGGTAACACTAGAAACAAATACATCATACAAAGAATAAAAGAACCAATTATGAAACTAACAGCAGAGGCATAGGCTGATTTTGCCTATGAAGGTAATTTCTTGAATAGCAGCTGGCTATGTTGCATGGATACAGGTGCGGGCACGGGTGTGGATACAGGACACAGCAAAATAGTAAAATTCAGGATACTAGGACACAGCTATATACACACATGTCTAATAATCTATATGAGATCAATATTGTTTTTCATTCACATGTTATGAGAACTAAAATCCTTATACTATTGTTATGTTTATCAAGTGGATTATATAAATTGAAACACCACTCATATTTGAACTAGATACCCAAACGACCATCTAAAATCAAACTTGTGGACTAGGTATGTGCTAAAACTAACAATGTTCCGAGTCCAATGAGCTACAAAAATTTGAGATGAAATGCATGACATACATTCAAGAAGCGTATCACGAGATTTTTGAACTAAAACATGTGTTATATAATTGAGTACACGCCTGAATAAATATATGTATATATGCAAGAAGTGTCCAAGGAGTGTGAGACACAGACACGGACACGAAAGCCTAGATGAAGTGTCTGTGTAACCTAGACAACTGGTATTGATGGAATGATTTATCTGAAGCGTATGATATGCATGCTAAGCACCTTTAAGATGAAAAAACGGCTGATTTTTCAGTTGGACTGAGTTAGGGAGTCCTAGATATGAATTGAAGATTGATGTGCTCGTTCAGAGTTGGGAACATGATTGCTGATTCATATGCATAACTTAAGGAAGGGTGCTCTTTATCTCTTTGTTGATTACTGTCATTCCACAAATATCAAATACATCAGAAATGAAACTGAAATTGACGGCAAAATTTGATTGAAAATATTGTTTCAGCTGAAGTCATCTCTGAGATAAATCAGATAACATGGGTATGGATATGCCACGACACTCATAGTATCATCTAAAAAAACATGGTGCTCTCTGAGATAAATCAGATTATACAGGTATGAATATGCCAAGACACTCATAGTATCATCTAAAAAAACATGGTGCTGTTAATTTTCATATTTTAACGCCCTTATTTTATAAACTTCGTAAAGGATGCTAAGAACATAATGTAAGACCATGTGTCCAGCAATATTCCAATCAGATCGAGGAAACAATGGCATATGAATTGTACCCTGTAGCTGTCATAATGTCATGTCTACAGTGCAAAATTGACTCGAGTTAATATAAATTTTTGCAAAAGAAAATTTACCAAAATGGGAGCACACACAGAAAATAGCATGAACCAATTACTAAGTCCCCAGGTGAATGCCTTTGGTGGATACTTGATACGAGTCGCCGGGCGAGCATCTTTGATTGCGGAATTATCAAAGGTGGGTTGAGAAGAGGATGACAGAAACACAAGAATAATTCAGTATGTGGCGAAGGAAAATACCCTCTCTAGATTATGATATGAAAAGATTACAATCTCTCTCACACAATCTCACTAGAATCGAGAACAAACTCTCAATTCTCTCTAAACCCTAATCTCTCTTGATTATAATCTCTCTTTGATTACATCTGATTTATTAAAAACCCTAAAACAATCCCTTATATAGGTGTAACAATGTGGATGGTAAAGTGGTAAATAACCAAGCCCAAACCCCACAGGAATTCGTGCAAACAGAAACTCAAACGAACCAGGAAACCATCGATGAGTCGACTCATGTGCATATATGAGTCGACTCATGACACATGGGTCGACTTATGAAATGATGAGTCGACTTGTCAGAAACTTTTGATAAAACGGCTGGGTTTCGTGAGTCGACTCATAACAAGCATGAGTCGACTGGTCAGAAACTTCTGATAAAACGGTTGTGTTTCGTGAATCGACTCATGACAGGCATGAGTCGACTCAACCTGATGAGTCGACTCATGTGTATGTATGAGTCGACTCACGGGCTAAAAACTGGATGCTTCGATTCTTCGATTCTTCGATTCGCCGCCTCATTCAACGTCTCGACCTGCGTTCCACTGTGTTGTTTTACACCTCTATTCTCAAGTTACCATGAGAATCATCCATCCTCAAGCTCTCATGAGGATCGCTAAGTTCCGAAGAGAAGATACATATGTATCATGGATCCCCCTTTTAGGAACTTGAAGTCTCATTCAAGTTAGAACTTCAGCTGAGGAAACTCGCGAGCTCCTCCATCCTTTCTGTACCACCTGACTTTGCTAGGAACCTGATATCGACGTACAACTGGAAACGACTCCTTCGTTCCTCGCCTCATCATAGTCGTCTTCCGTTCCAACATGCAACTTCTTTTCGATGGCTCGTCATGAAGTTTAATGCACAGCGAGACGAACTTCTTGCTTGCATTCACTAGCCTCTTCGCTCACGTCACCGTCACCAAATTTGCCTCCCTCGGAAGAGACGCCGAACGAAATATGAACTTTTCACCATCCTTGGTGAATATATACTTTTGAGCCCGCTTTTCGTAGATCGTGTATCTATCCCACAAGTACGGATTGCCCAGTATAACCTGACAAACATCCAATTGAACGACATCGCACGTGACCTCGTTAATATACGACTCATGGAGCGCAAATCTGACAGTGCATTGATCAACTACACTAAGTCTCGTCTCCTTCTGAATCCACCCTAATGGATAGGGTTTCGGATGCTTGACTGTCTTCAGACACAGCTTCTGAACCAAGACCTCGGATATCAAATTATTTTCGCTACCTGAATCAACAATAACATCAACCAAACTGATCTTCACTTGTAACTTCAGCACAAAGAGCTGCTCTCGAGGGTCTTCGTCCTCTTTCGTGGCCTGTTTCTCTATCATAAGATTGAGACTACTGTTGGGCTCTGTCATCCCAGGAACTTCCTTCGGACCCTGTGCTATCACGTATGTATTTTTCTCTTTTTTCTTCTTCAATCCCTTTGGCTTCAGATGATGATACTTCTCCCAACATCGATCAGCGATATGTTCTGTCTTCTCTCAGTGACTACAAATCAGTTCTGTTCTTCCTAGATCACCTTTCTTCTTCTCCTTATGTTTGGAACCACTAGACTCACCTCCCGTCTGTTTTGCTTCTCCTTTGCCTCGTTGCTCTTCTTTTGCTTGCCCTCGATGGCAATAGCTTTCACGCTTGTCTCTGCAATAGACTCGACCATGAATAGCTTCATCTCCTTCCGGATGTATTCGTTCAGACCCGTCATATACTTCATGAAGATGGAGTATTCGTCCGTCGCGACGTTTAGAACCATCGCCTGCTGCTGGAACTCCGTCGTGTATTCTTGAACGATCTGATTGAATCTTTGGCGCAAGTCGTATCACTTGTACCAACGCTCCTCAAGGAACCCTATTGGATAGAACTGCTTTCTCAGTAGCTCCTTAAACTTGTTTTACGACACCGCATTCTTTTCCTTCTTCCAGTAGGATTTCCATCACGTCAAACGCATGCCCTGAAAGCTTCAAAGTCGCGAACACACTCTTCTCCTTGGATGAATATCTATAGAAAGTGAAATACATTTTCATACGCTCGATCCAATCATCGAGCTTCTCCACATTGACACTCCCATCATAAATAGGAATCTCCATCTTAAAATTAATTTTTAAGTTCTGGTAGTAATTCTTACCCCCTTGATGTGGAGCAGTCTTAACAATCTCAGCCTCCTCATCAGAACCAGTTTTCTCGCCCTCTCCATCGGACCTTTCGAGCTTATTCTTACCCTTCGAAGAAGATTCCTCCTTTTTATCTTTTCCATTGATGAGACCTACGAGCTGATTGAGTGTAGAACCGATCATCTCGATCGGCTTCTCCATT